AATCTTTTATTTTTAAGACTAACTTACTAGTATCCAGTAAATCCTTGATTACATTTACATGTATAATATCCATCTAAATGATCAACACAAATACTATTTTCTTTTGAACAATTATTTCCTTGTTCACATTCATTAATATTAATTTGACAAAATTTTCCATTCCATCCATGATTACATATACATTTGCCTTGATCAAAATCACTAGAACATTGTCCATTCTGACATTTCATATTTTCACATATATGATTAAATGTACAATTATTTATTTGTATATTTTCAATTTGTTCAGTAAAAAATTTATTTGTACGTGTATCATTTTCATAAATAATATTATTATAAAATGGTATATAAAGATTTTCTCCAACTAGAACATATTCTAAACAACCACGAAAACCATTACCAATAAATATTTGTGTTTGACTATTTGATGTTAATAAAGATTTTAATGATAAATTAACTGTATATGTATAGAGATAATTAACTGTTAATGTTGAAAAATCTGACCAATGTAAATGAAATGTTGTCCATTCATCAAATGTTTCATTATTTAATTCAATAATAAGATCTGTTGTTAATATTGAATCACGATAAATTAAATTTTCATCATGTAAATATAGAGAAAAATAATTTGATGTATATAAATTTTTTATTGTTAATAAATGTGTATGTTGAGAACGTGCACGAAGACGAAATGATAATTCATTGGATATTTTTGATATTGAATTATGATATAAACTAGCTATTAAACTACTTGAATTACCTTCAAATGTTGCTGTTGCTAAACCTAAATATTTTTAGGAAAATTAAAAATTTCAAAACAAAAAAAAAGCAAAACATACATTCTTGATTTTCATCAGTTACTTTACAAATAAATCCATCTGGACAAAGACTCGTATTATTATGATTACATATATTTGGTTCCGAACAATTTCTACCAAACCAGTTCGATTCACATTGACATCTGATTAATGATGGAAATAAAAGAAGAAAAATAATCGTTAGAATATTTTTGTCTATATAAAGTTTATTTATCATTATCCATTTTCTCATCGTATTTAATAGATCTTCTATGGTACAAAACATACATATCGATTAGATCCTCGTTCGTGTATTGTGACCGTTATTCTAATACGTTTGTATTTATTGTCATTATATCTATTGTACTATTGTCAAGAGAAGAGAAGAGAAGAGAGAAAAAAGGGCAATGGTACAGTATTGAGCTTATACTCCTAAGTAAGAGAAAATATATTTATCATGTACTCAAAGTTTAATCGTCTATGTAAAAGGAAAAAAAATTGTCGAGTATGATATGCCACTTGAATGTGGGACATAGACGAAATTTTGTTATTTATCTTTTTCTCATCATTGAAAAGGTAAACTTACAAATAATCTTGTAAATTTGTAACGAAACAAATGCCTTGATTTAAACATGGATTATTTGGGTAACACGGATTATTTTCTTGTTGTTTCATATTTAAAACAGTTAGATTGAAATTTTGTGTTGATTTATTTGTTTGATCAAATGATATAAGTTGATCATTTATACGTATATCTTGTAACCAACCATTTAATGAACCATCACCAAGTAATTCAACTTGATTTGGTAATAATTTTGTATTTGTATTTGTTAATGTTTCATTATAAATTTCATCGATAAGTAAACGAGAATTTTCTAAATCAAGTTGAATGTTATGTGGACGTCCATCATTTAATCTTTGTTCACTACGTAATTCATATTCTTGATGTTTAGGTCCACCATCGATAATAATCAATCGAAAATGACCATCGATTAACGCGCCTATTATTTTTGATGATGTTTGATTATGTGATGTTAAATCACGAGTTGATCGAGATTGTTTTATAGAAGATCCAAGTTCAAAAAGTGTACCATTTGATTGAAGGGTATTAAAGAAAAGAGATATATTGGATATTGGTGATGATAGGGAAATATTTGCTAAACTTCGTTCATTGAATGATATTATTGGAGCAACTATAATAAAAAATAAAGACAATTTTTAATTAAGACAAAAGATAAACATAGGATTATATTACTTTGATCACAATGTTCACCAAAAAAAGGTCTCTGACATTGACATATATGATAAAACCAATGGTCTTGACATATTTCATTCTTTTGACAAGTAGAATGTTGACAAGCATTTGTTCTAAATGAAGGTTATTTAAATTAAAATTTCTTCGTAATCCTTGTATTTATTAATCATATACATTCAATTTTTTTTCATTTAGATAATCTAATCTCTACAGAATTCGAAACAAATGATTAAGACAGTATTTTATCTAGCGGGTGGGCGGTAGGGACCTGCGGAGTCATAATCGGGTTTCGGAGTACTCCGCAGCTCCCTAGTGGGCGGCGCGCATCAATCTGGATAAAATACTATTGAAATAAATGAAATTTTGATGTATCGATTATTGAGCAGTTCTTGATATTATGCAACTCTTTCCTTGTTAAATATTTCATGGTACGAAAATCAGTCTTACTCTACCTTACCCTGAGCGAAATATGGAGTAAAGTAAAGTCTTCATGAACGCTATCGAATAAAAGAATATTAATACAATACCTTTCGCAACCTAATGTTCTATTTTCATTTGTTTCAACTAATTGATCGGTAAGTAAAATTGAATAAACTTGACTATAAGTTATTTCAATATTTCTTACACAACCTGAATAATTATTAAAACCAAAAATAACTTGATTATTAATTAAATTCGCTAATGAAGAATTTGAAATATAAAATCTTTGTGATAAGGAATTTTTTCCTATTTTAACATCGATCCATAAATGAAATATTTCAATACTAATCATAAACCATTTTTCATTATAATCAATAAATGTTGATAAAAGTGTTTTATTATCTAGATTTGTTAGTATTCTATTATCATTTAATTCTTGTTTAAAACGTTTTCCAATTGAAATAAGTGAAATTTGTTTTAATGTTGTACGAAATTCATATTGAATACGCATTGGTAACGATGAATGACGATAAGGTAAACTTTTTGATATATTTATTGATGATGAACGTAAATGAAATGTTGATGATAAACTTGTATGATAAATAAATGATTTACTTATTTCATTTTGTTTATTCTCACAATTATAACCCAACCAACCAGTATTACAATGACATTGATAACCATTTACTAAATCAATACATTCACCATGTGATGAACATGGATTTGTATAACATTCATTAATATTTATCTCACAGAAAAGTCCCGTGAAACCAGGTAAACATAAACATTGAATTAAATGATTTGTAATTAAACATAAACCATTATTAAGACATAAACTTCGATTAGATTTTGTTTGACATAAATCAACTGAATGTTCACAAAATTTTCCTTGATAATTCAATGAACATTGACATTCAAATGTATGATTTAAATTTAAACATTTTCCATTATTTCGACATGGTTGAGATAAACAAGGTGTCTGATAAATTTCACAATGTCTACCTGTATAATTCGATGAACATTGACATTGATATTTTGTTCGATTATTTCGTTTACATATCCCATTATTCAGACAAGGATTATTTTCACATGAATCAATTAATGTTTGACAATAAATACCTTTATAATTCGATTGACATCGACATGTAAATGTATTTAATTGTGATAGACATGTCCCATTATTATAACATGGTTGACTTAAACAATAATCAATTTGTACAAGACAATTTTGACCTGTTAAACCCGGTGGACAATAACAACGGTAATCTGTTGAATTTATCCAATGACAACTTCCACCATTACGACAGGGACAAGATGATTTTGAAAGTAAAGATCTACCAATTGTTTCAGTATAATTATCAGCACATGGAAAGATATCTATGTAAAGATTTAATACTAAAAAAATGCTGAAAATTTTGGATATTTTATATCTTACTTGAAGGACAATGACAATAATTCATTTTTTGTTCACTGATACATCCAAAGTAATTATCAAGTATTCGATCTCGTTCTGTTCTACATGTATTTGTTGTTAATTGATTAATCTGTCGTAATTTTTCCGTATCATTAACAACACATAAATGTGAATCAGTACATTTAACAGATAAACTTGCTTGTTGTAAACGTTGACATTCTGATGGTGGATATTCACAATGAAAACCTTTTGATTAATCTTTATTAAATTATTATTCAAAACAAAAAAATATAATCATACCAAAATAACCCGGCGGACATCGACAATGAAATCCACCAACATAATTATAACATGTTCCATTATTTGCACAAGGTTCTATTAAACATTCATCAATATCATATTGACATACATTACCTGTATATGGTGATAAACAACGACATTCAAATCCATTAATCTATAATTATTTATTTTATAGAATTTCTATTGATTAAAGAAAATAATTACTTTATTAATACATGTTCCATTTCGATTACATGGTTGAGATAAACAATAATCAATTGCTTTAGCACATGTTAAACCAAACCAACCTTCTGTACAATAACATCGATATGAACCAATTTCATTAACACATCTTTATTAGAAACAAATTTTGTAACTAAATATTAAACTATTCATAGAACTTACGTTCCACCATTGCGACATATGAATGGAAACACAGTACATTCATCAATATCTTCATCACATCGAATACCTGTATAGGTTGGCGGACACATACAACGATATTGACCACCATTTAAATTATAACATGTTGCATTTTGATGACATGGAGATGAATCACAAGGATTTTGTTCGACACATTCACCATCCCAATCTTAATACAAAGAAATTTTTTTTCTTGTAAGAAATAAATTCATATTCATACTTCGTTTAAAATTCGATTTACATTCACAATGAAATGAATTAATACCATCAATACATTGAGTATTATTTTTCGGACAAATTATTCCTTCACAATCATTTATATTTGTCTCACAATTCGAGCCTGTAAAACCAGATTGACATGTACAATGATAAAGAACATTATCACGATCAAGAATTAAATGACATTTAGTTGCATTGTTTAAACATGGTTGAGATAAACAAGGATCAAGTGTCTAAATGAAAATTAGTTCTTCGAAAAACAATATCATAATCATACTTTTAATTCAATCAAAGTTATTCATGCAAAGGTTATATTTCTTTGAACATTGTCATATATGTGTGAGCAAATAAGTCTATCAATCCTTAATAAACATGATAGGAAACAAAAAAAGAAATCTATGTCATATTTGTCGACACGCTTTCATTAACTAATTAGGTATGTTACGGTGGGTAATCATTGTGATTAAAATATAATTTATATAGGTGTTGAACAGCTTGTCTTGTGAAATATGACAAGCACATTACAAAAGTTGTAAAGAAATGCAGACAATCGGAAATCATATTCATTCATTGAAAAATATATACATTTTCTTATAAGAAAAATCAAATCATCGACTACGTGTTAAGAAATAAATTATAACAATTCATACTAATTTACCTCCTGTTGTTCGATATATACTATTGTTTTATATTCTATTCTAATCATTCATGAACCGTAAAGAACAGTTTAATTATAAATATAGGATTGAGGTATGCGAAAAAGTAATGATCGTTTTTTATGCAAAGAGAAAATATCTAATATAAAGGAATTACTTATACTCAATCTATAGTTTTTATATTGAAAATATAAATAAAATTTATCGTACCATTTCACAGTTTTGTCCAGTAAAACTTTCCAAACAGTCACATTTATATGATCCTGGTAGATTCATACAACTTTTTGCTGCTTTACATGGTTGTATTGTTTTACATTCATTAATATCTTCTGAACAATCAATACCAGTCCATCCAGGATCTATAAATCGCAAAAAAACTTGTTCGTATCTTAATTAATTATTTATCTTATTTCATACCACAAATACAAGTATAGCCATTTGGTAAATCAATACATTTACTTTGAAATGGACATGGATTCGATTGACATTCATCAATAGAATATTGACATTGATCACCAGCAATTCCTTTCAAAAAAAAACATGTTTTATCACAAAATCATAAGATTAAATTTACCCGATGGACATATACATTGAGAAGTATTTTTTAAAATATCCACTTGACAAATGCCTTGATTTTGACAATGATTATATGAACAACGAACAGGTATTGTTTTTAAACCACATTGTAAATCTAATAATTTCTCTTAAAAATAAATTTACCCACTTTTTTTTTATTTACCTGTAAATGGATGACAATCAAATATCTTAAAAAGTGGACAATACTGTTCTGCACTATTTAAAGGTGTACATAAACGATGTTCTAGAAAAGCCAAAAAAAAAAGGATTAAATCAAATAATTTTCATAACTAACCACAAGTTTTAATATCTGTTGAACAATAACTGTTCTTATTTGTTTGAAAACCATTGTATGGTAATAGACATGTGACATTTTTATCCTGTTCATCAACAAGTATTTGTACATTTAATTTTGTTTCAATAGTTTTATTTTGAAATATTAATGGATAATCAATTAAAGGTATTAATCGTGTTTCATCACTATTAAATGATATAAATATACGTGATAAATTATCATCAAATGTTATATTAACATAATTCCATGTATCGATTTGATGATAATAATCAATAGCAGATTGAAATTGATAATCAAAATTTGATAGATTTGATAATGATGGATTTAAACTACCGAATTTAAAATCATATTGATCTGTTTTATATGTATAAATAACATTTAAATGAAAATCTTTTGTAATTAATTGAAAATGTTGACTGTTCAATGGATGGATATGTTCAATATGTATTAAATTTATGTTAGGTAAACATGTACGATAACTAAAACTTATACTTTTTGATGAAATTTCATAGAAGAAAAGAATAAAACTAAAGACTAAAATTATACAAATTGTAATTAAATAAAAAAGTAAATTATTTTGTATTTTACTTTGAATATTTGCCAAGTACATTTTGTCATTTCCAATTATCGTCTTTTTTTTAATGTTCTGTCTTTCGTCAGTAATGACAACACATGTGAACAATCATCGATTCATCATCTTCTATATCCGTTACACACATATGTCGACCAAAGGGCGGACAGGTCAAATCGAAAAACAACAAAAACATCAAACAAAGTAAAAGAGAAGTAAACGAACGAAAGTGAGTCGGGAGAAACAAAAAGGTAAAAGACGAAATAAGTGACCTCTTATTGAACGAAAAAAACGAAGAAGAAGAGGAGGAAGTATGCGTAGTTGACATTTTAATGTCGTAAGGAGGAGACTCGTGCATACGTTGACGATGAACGAAGAAATTAGATATGTTAACATCCCATAATCTCTTTTTCTTTTCAATTTGGCATGTACATGTTACCTGTCCTCGTTCTCAACGATAATGTAAAGAAATGACTATCATAGACGTTCAATTATCAAACGATATAATCAAATTTAAGAAAAAAGAATTGATTCATACAAACTTTTCATCTATTGAAGATGTTATTTTTTTATTTTTGACGAGTAAACTTTTCTCGCTTTTTGTTTTAGCTCATACTTATCATTCTCTGTAGTAGGAACAGACGATGTCTACTTGTCTATTGAACCTGTCCTTGTTATCGTATCATCTTTCACACTCAAGCATATTTTTGAATGTCCATGTATATTTTAATTGCATTCTATCCTTAACGATATGTGCACACACGTGTAAATGTTCGAGTATGAAATATGAATGAATGAACGATAGAGTAATCAGATCTAATTAGAGTGGAAAAGAGAACGACGTTCGAACAACAAAAAAAATATGAATGATCATTTATGAATCCACTCCAGCTGCTCTTCAATTGTTGAAGTTGAAGGCTGAAAAAGAAAGAAAGAATGAACTCAACCTAATTGCGCCGCTTCGATTGAGTTGCTTTGCATTCAAAAGTAAAAATTCCTCTAAACAAATTTGACCTTAATCCGACTGAGTAAGATAAAAGGTGACCATATTGTCCTATATTCCAAGGGCAACATTGCAATATTAATAGCTCAAGGTTAACGGAAGTCGTCAAAAAAAAACAGCTTGTTCTTCTTCACTAATCTTCGTCTTTTATGTTGAATTCAAAAATCAATAACATATACAATTGATCTATGCTCAATTGACATTTGCTATTCAAATATGAATAAAGAATATCTATAACTGCAAGATAATTTTAAAGAATATTTTTCTACATGTTAAATAGTAAACCGTTTTATTTGTATTGTTTAAACTTGAATATCTTAATATGAAATGTTTGTAGATATGAATGACAAATAAAAGTGATATTATAAATCAACTATCTTATCAGATAATCTAATACATTTTATTAACATGTCAACTTAGATGACAATTAAAGAACAAATTTTTTTATTTATTTGATCAAACTCAATAGGCATGTACTAATGTTTGTTCTAATTGAGTAACTTTTTCTTGCCATAAACTTCTCGCATGATTTATCTTTATTTTTAACCTACAATAAAGTACAATTTCAAAGAATACCTAGAAGAATAGATATACATCCAATAATTAATGTCAAATAAATATACGGACACAAGAGGTAGATGTTTGATAATAGCTATATAAATCACAATGATAAGCGACAAATAAGCCAATACAAACACTATCAATTGTAATACTAAAGATTGCGATATAGCTACAATTAGTCTGTCATTCACTTGATTGATGATGTATTTAGTTATGCGAAAAATTTATTGTTAAGTGAGACTCACTGATTAACAAGTTGATTACGAATAATATAGATTTTCATACATGTTATATTGTTTACTATTGATAGTATTGAATGTGAAACAAGATGATACTAATAAAGTTTTATTTAATGATGTAAATTAAAATTTTGATAAAAATAAACAAGTCTGATTCGAAATTCAAAGTGCAGTATGTTAATTCATTGAATGATAGGTTTATTATTTGTTGATTCGATGAATAAAGAGAATAGAGATCGGTTAAGATAATATTAATCGGATTAGATAAAGGACAAAAACAATTATTAGTGGATAAACTTCTTTTTTTTCGCACGTTTATGTGAACATATTAAAATGATTAAAATCTAACGATCAATCTATATCAAAATATAAACTATTTTATTTGTCAAGTAAAGATGAGTTTGAACAATATATACATTGAGATCGTTTGTTTTGATAGAACCTATGAATAGAATCAAATTGATGTTTAGAGGTCACAATGTTATGTTAAGATGTCAGTAGAGGTGAGAGTTTATTCCTTATCGACATCACTTGTAATAGTTTAAAATATATTCTAAATGTAACAGACGTCTTTCGCTATAGAAATTATATAAAAAGAAAAACATTATACTATTGTAATTTAACGAGACGAAACAGTTTAATAAGTTCTAGAATAAAGCCTATATAATTGAGAGAGAAAAAAAGCCATCTGTTTCAATAGTATAAACGCATTAAATATCATTCTATCGATTCTTCTTCATATAGCATCTGTGTATCTCAAACTTTAAGAAAAACAAAATATTTCATTGTCGTCGATATCATTATACAAAAATAACTATATTTAAAAATCTAATAAATTCTTAATGTGTAACTTGTACAATTTATTTCTTCTCCTAATATATAATTAAAATAAAATTTCTTTGATATCAGATGTGAAAATCAAATGGCGTATATAATGTAACTTTTTCTTATAATGGCACACACACGAATCAGCTTGTATAATGAGTGGGTGTATCGAGAAAGAATCACATATAAGAAAAATAAACTATTTCTTTTTGTCGTTCTGTCTTTTCGTTAAGAATCAGTAAGGCGTCATTCACAACAACAAACATCAGAAGTTTTCATTCAAACTAATAGAAAAAAAAGAAAACGAAATATGTCTCCAAGTAACACAAAATTGAATCTCACTAAAGTTCGTGGTAAATTATCTTTATTTGGATGGAAAATTATCTATGATTGGTCATTTTCATTAGCGGCTCTTATTGCATATTATTTATTGATTTCTTTATTACCCCTTATATTAAGTATGTTCGCTGTTATTAGTTTAATATTCGGCAGTGATGCACAATTTCAAACTCAAATTCGTGATCGTTTAATAAAAGCATTTCCGGAAGAAGGTCTTGCTGATGTTCTTGATGCATTACTTGCTTCATTATCCAAGCAAGCTGGTTTAGTATTGATTATAAGTTTCGTCATATCTATGTTTACTGGTTCACGTTTATTTGTTGGTCTCGATGATGTTTTAACAATTGTCTATCGTATACGTGAACGAACAATACTGAATCAGAATATTCTTGCAATTAAAATGATTTCAGCATTTGTAATTATAATGCCATTTATTATTATATTTTCATCATTACCAGCTATTTTACAAAAACATGAATCATTCTATCAATTTTTAACAGTTCTTACTAGTGGCATACTTTCATTCGTATTCTTTCAATTAATTTATATAATTTTACCTAAACGTCCAATGAGTTGGAGAAATACGTATGTAGAAATAATTGTTTTTGTTTCAAGACATGTGTTGTTGTTTTTTCTAGATGGTGTGGCTCATTACTTGCAGCTGTAGGTTTACAAATTCTTCTTTTACTTTTCCCATTATATGTCCATGAATTTATGGCTAATTATGTTGGACAATTAGGTTTTATAATAATAACATTATTATTATTTTATTTATTTGGTTTATTATTTGTTATTTGTGCACAAATTAATGCCTTCTTTTTTGATCATGTTCAACCATTAACAACTGGTCTTGGAACATGTTTAAGTGAATTTTCTGATCGAGAACAAATACAATTAGTGGAAGATGATATTTTTGATTCACGTAATACAATCGTTGCAGGATTGGATACTATTGAACATCATTGACTACTACATTAACGGAGAATCGACGTTTTATTTTAATGAACATTTAAGTAAACCCCTGAAAGTTTGATCCTATTTTTTTGAATTAAAGGTTCTATATGTAAAATAACCTAAATAATTGTTCTAAACGATACTAATAGTAATAAAAATGAATATGAATATCGAAATGATCGAGGGAACAAAGGAGAAAACGAAGAATTATTATATCAGACAAAAAGAAAATTTAGTGTGTCAATGAAAATCAAAATACTGTACTTTGATACGATATGAAAAAAGAACAAAAAGGTGAACTTATTTTCGAGTTTTTATGTATATTTAATAAGTACCTAAGGAATAAACAGAATGGTGAGTTTCGTGTGAAAAATATGACATTTCTCATAATGAAATGGACATTATTTTTAATGTATTCCATTTTTATCAATTAAGATGCAAATTTCCATTGAATGAAACTAATTAAAAACCAAAATCATGGAATGAGTCAAATGCAATTTTCTTCACTTTTTTTAATTTCCTAGATATGTATAGACAACAAAGTAATAAATAATGATTTTTCTCAGATGAAATTCCAGTATTATATATATAAATAATAAGGACATTACGAAAAATATTATTATAATACAGTTATATATAAGAATATTATTGATTGCAGTTAAAAAATAAGATTATAAGCAACAAAGTGCTTTCTAATATTCAAATAATTGTATGAAAAAAGTTTATTATGTATCATACTACTGTTATTAAATATGAATTAAAGCCAAGAATTTCTTCTTTTTAGGTAATTATAACTATATTAGTTGATAATACTAATTAATATGAGAAATACTTATCAAACATTAATGTTATTGTTTTTCTTTGTTCGTGTTTCCATAATTGAAATTTATTATTAAAAAAAAATAATCGTATGCATTCGTTAGAAATTGAACCAATGGCAAAACCCTAGTTACTTGTTTGAGAAATGATATGGTAGCTAAGAATAACTTGACAGATGTAGAATAGAACGCAATAGGGAAAATTTATTTCTATTTTAATTTGAAGCAATGGTAAAGTAATTTTGACTGTATTTTCTTTGATAAATTATTTTTCTAGCCTCGTCCAACAACTGCATCGAATAAGGGTAAAGATGAATCTGTTCGAGTCGTTGTTCGATGTCGTCCGATGAGCGATAAAGAACAAGAAACTAATTGTGAAAGGTTGGTTTTTTTATTATGCATCTTCTCTTAAAATCTGAATTCAATTAGAATTGTTAATATTGATGAACAACGTCGACAAATATCTATTCGACGACCTGTTAATGAAAATTCTCAACGTAATGCTGGTGAAGATGGACATAATTTCTTTTTTGACGCTGTTTATGATTGGAAGTATGTTACAGAATTTTTAATAGGGATTTTTTATCTATTGATTTCAGTTCAAAACAACGAGATGTTTATGAACAAACTGCACGACCACTTGTTGATTCCGTAATTGAAGGTTTTAATGGAACAATATTTGCCTATGGACAAACTGGTACAGGAAAAACATTCACTATGGAAGGTAAAAAATAAACATGAATTAAAACATTTCAAAACAAATCATTAAAAAGGTGTTCGTTCACAAGCGGAATTACGTGGAATAATTCCATCATCATTTGCACATATATTTGATTCAATTTCACATAGTACATCAAAACAATTTCTTGTACGAGCTTCTTATCTTGAAATCTATAATGTAAAGATTGAATAATATTTTATTTTAATGAGAGAAAATTCTTTTTTTTTGTTTGGTATAGGAAAGTATTCGTGATCTATTATCAAAAGATCAAAATAAACGTTTACAATTACAAGAACATCCAAAAGAAGGTGTTCATGTACATGACCTTAGTTCATTTGTTACAAAGAATTCACAAGAAATTGAACATGTTATGACAATAGGAAATGCAAATCGATCAACAGGGTGAAATTGATATTTTTTGTTTATTTTTTACAATGTATTTTTATTGATTAGAGCAACAAATATGAATGAACATAGCTCACGTTCACATGCTATATTTATGATTACAGTTGAAAGTAGTGAGGTAAAAGATTAATTTATTTATCAGAGTATTATTAATATAATGATTAGATGGGTGCTGATGAAAAAGCACATAATCGTGTTGGAAAACTTAATCTTGTCGATTTAGCTGGAAGTGAACGTCAAGTAAAAACGGGATCAACGGTACAATTTTGATTATCAATAAAAAAGCCTACAATACATATATTTTTCTTGTCTAATAATTTAGGGTGAACGATTTAAAGAAGCAACAAATATCAATTTATCTCTTTCAGTACTTGGTAATGTTATCTCTGCGCTTGTTGATGGTAATTCACATGTACCTTATCGTGATTCAAAATTAACTCGATTATTACAAAGTAAAAATTCATGAGAAGAATAGCTTATTCATCAATTATTTTATAGATTCACTTGGTGGTAATTCAAAAACAATTATGATTGCAACACTTGGACCTGCAGATTATAATTATGATGAATCACTTACAACACTTCGGTAATAAATAAATTATTTTATTTTAGTTATAATTATTGAATAAATAGATCACTCGACTATTCGTCTATAATCTTTCTAAGTAATCTATATTATATAAATGCTTTTTATAACTTATATTAGAAAATTATTAATGCTATAGATTAACATTTTGTAGAAATAATTTTCTCTAATCATAAGAGTTAGTTTAGTGATTTCTAATTCTTCCATAAGTCATTATTAATCTCGCTGTTTATATTATAGTTATGCTAATCGTGCTAAAAATATCAAAAATCAACCACGCATAAATGAAGATCCTAAAGATGCTTTATTACGTAAATTTCAAGATGAAATAGCTCGATTAAAAGAACAACTTGAAGGAAAAGGTAAAAGTGGTCGTAAATCTCGTCGTCGTAATAATCAAGATGGAAGTAATAATGATGAAAATGATGATGGTAATCAAAATGATGAAGAATTATATCTTAAAGAACAACAAGATAAACTTAATGATGAAAAACGAACAATTCTTCATAATAAAAATATCAATGGTTAGTTTTTACATATTTCATTTTTCAAAAAGAAAAATATATTCGTTTAGAAAATGAACGAGAAAGTATGCTTCAAGAATTAGAAGAACAAAAACAAGCTATTGAACGTGAACAAGAAGAACGTCGTGAAATACAACATAAAATTCAACAAATGCAATCAAAATTAATCACCGGTGGAAAAGATATTGTTACACATACAAGTGAACAGGAAGAAATTCTAAAACAAAAACGGTTTGTTTGTTATATATTGATTAATTGAAAAACTAATGAGTTAATTTAGGCGTTTAATTGCGGAAGCTGAACGTCGTCATCGTGAAGTTCAACAACGATTGGAGCAAGGTGAAGAAGAACGACAAACAATCAATGAAAAATATACAACTATAAAAGAAGAAGTTGATGATAAACGTGCTAAACGAGATAAATTATCGAAACAATTAAAAAAACTTGAAGCAAAAAAACTTGATATTACGGAAAATCATCGAATAGCACGTGAAGAACTTGAAGCTGAACAACGTGAAATGCAAAAACAAGCTAAATTATATCAACTTATTATTGAAAATTTTATTCCTATTGATGAACGTGAACGATTATTTAAACGAATTCAATTTGATAATAAACATAATCAATGGACATTAAAAGAATTATCAAAAGAAACGTATGTTTAATTAGGAACAAGGAAAAACTAGATCTTATTTAAAACTTAAATAATTCTAGAGATCAAATGGCTGCTCGTCCAAAGTCAATTCGTAATGCTCACCATCCAATAGTTTCAAATTCACAATCAAATTCTACTCCAAAAATAGCTGAATTTAAAGTATAATTTATTCTTATATTTTTTATTGATATAATTAAAGAATTATTGAAGGGTGAAAATATTATGCTACTTCAAATGGATGGTCCTAGTCGAACCACTCGAGACTATGAAGGTCCAATCGTTTCACCAATGATCCAAGCAGCTATTGAAAATGCAATGAAAGATGAAGATAATATTGAATTAGATGCAAAGTAATTAGAATTAATTTTAAAATAGATAAATAAATTCAGCTTTTATTTTTAGTAATATTCCAGTGGATAAACGTAAGAAGAAAAAGTAAGTCGCAATGATTTGTTTAAGAAATTAATTCATATTTTATATAGAAAAACAATTCCTACTGGTGAAAATGCATATGATCATTATACATCATCATCAACAACATCAGTGTCCCGTCTTGGATATGGAGATTTACAAACCGGTCGTAGTATGAATAGTGCACGACGTTAATATTGCAATTATACAGTGATATATATGTGTTGTGTTTTTCTTTTCTTTCGATGTTGTTAATGATTATAAGTATCTCGGTGTATATTGCATAAGATTATATGTGAATAAATTGAATAGATATAATATTGAAAGTTTTTAATAGTTCGAAACGTAATCACTTATTCAACATTAGACATAATTAATGATATTTTTCAATGTACTTTTTATTGCATATGATACTTAGACATGTATGATAATTTATTTTTTAGTACTAATTATCGTGTCATAAATAACGTTATATAATGGTAAATGAAAAGTAAATCATTTAAAAAAATAATTGCTGACATCGACTAATTTTATTTTATTATAATACTCAGTATTTTTTATACTTTAAAGAACTATGTCTGACTAGTTAATCTTTCAGTCATAATACCCAAAACTTAATCTTTGTTTTTTTTTGCTGAAGTCAAATATTGATCTACATTTTTCTTTACGAACTAATCCTACAAATCTATTAAAAGAATATCAACTTTAACTAAATACTTTCGTTGTGTCTGGATAAAAACTAAAAATTCAATTAAAAAACAAATATAAAAACACTATCGTACAATATTTAGATTTTTCAAAATGTACTGCAAAACGTTCATTAAATAAGCGAAAGTTTCCCATTGGAGTGTCATTTTTTCCCAGTGGGTAAAGAGTTTTTAATTCTTCCAGCAAACAGTGGAATATATATTCTTCAATTTTTTTTCTTGTTGTTCTCCACATTCTTCGATTCCCAAGTCATTCATCAAAAAAGGTTAAGGTATTATTTTTTATGCTAATTTTTTGTTAATTATATATGAGTCAATAAAAAATAAATTTGGTTGGAAAAAACCACGTATTATGTTATTATTAGTCATTGTTGTTTTTATACATTCGACATTGTTTAATCATATAGAGATAGAGAGAAATATTCCCATTAAGTTTGCCGCTTTTCATATCAAAGAATAAATCTAGTTCAAATAAATAATCAAGTTTAATTTTCTACTGATATTGTTAAGTGTATACACAAAAAAATATTTCATCTTCATTTGATAAAAGAAGAGCATAGTAGAAAAAAAAGTATGATATTTATGCATGTGTGTGTGATTGTTCTTATCTTTATTTTTAATCCTTACGAGTACACCATTTAGAGTATGTGCCTGTGTGCATATTTATCGTTTCTTTATTTTCCTTTTTTTTCGATGAAATAAGATAGACGTTGAAGGTTACACACATACGAAAACAACAAAATTCATTTACAATATATATCAAATGGCTGAGAATTCATTATCTATTCCTGACTTAATTGCCAAGAAACGTGATGATATAGAACTTAGTCCCGATGAAATAAAACAATTTATACAAGGACTATCAAATGGAGATGTTCAAGATTGTCATGTTGGTGCTATGCTTATGGCAATTTATATTCGAGGTAGTTTATAAAAAAAAGATACAATATTCTACATTTACTAAAACTTTTCTTTTAGGTATGACAGAGAAAGAAATTTGTTCAATGACAATGTCTATGCGTGATAGTGGTGAACGTTTAAATTGGCCACAATTTCGTGGTTCAGTCGTAGATAAACATTCTACAGGAGGTATAGGTGATAAAATAAGTATTCCATTAGCACCAGCATTAGCAGCATGTGGATTAAAAGTACCAATGATGTCTGGTAGAGGTTTAGGTATAACTGGTGGTACATTAGATAAACTTGAATCGATACCTGGTTATCAAGTACAATTAACAGATGAACAAATTACTGATTTAATTACAAATGTTGGTTGTGGAATAATTTCACAATCTCCTAAATTAAATCCAGCTGATCGTTATTTATATAAAATACGTGATGTTACAGCAACTGTTCCAAATAATGCATTGATTGTATCATCAATATTATCAAAAAAAGCTATTGAAGATCTTGATGCTCTTGTTCTTGATATTAAATATGGTTCAGCAGCATTTATGAAAACAACTGAAGCTGCTGAAGTTTTGGCTGAATGGTTATTTAAAGTATCGACAATGCTTGGAATGAAGACCTGTTGTTATATAACGGAAATGAATAATCCTATTGGATATTGTATGGGAAATGCAATTGAAATTCAAGAATCACTCGATCTTATGACTTATAAATTAGGTCATTCAACTGATTTAGAAGAATTAATTTGTGAACAAGGTACTTAAAATTTGATAAGAAACGAATAGAATCTATTTGACAGTTTTATTTTAGGTGGTCGACTTCTTTTACTTATTAATAAAGTAGAAACGATTGAACAAGGTCGAGAAATGATTCGTAATACATTTAAAAATGGATCAGCTCTACAAAAATTCCATGATATGCTTATTGGTCAAGGTGTATCACGAGATATTGCAAAACAATTAATAAGTAATGATGAAACAATTGTTGGATCAATATTAAAACTTAGTGATATATGTCATCAAGGAATATCATTACAAGCTGGATATGTCGAATCAATTGATGCATTTAAACTTGGTACTATTGTTCAACGTCTGGGTAAATATTTTCTTAATTATTTAAATAAACGAGAAACAAAATTTAATTTTTAGGTGGTGGACGTTTAAAACCAATGGATACACTTGATTTATCTGTTGGTATTCGTTTATTAAAACATGTGGGTGATTCTATTCAACAGAATGAACCATGGGCAATTTTATATGCACCTGCAGATGCTTCGAAACGTTATCCGAAATTTTTAGATGATTTAAATGCTTCATTACTCGTTAGTTCAACACCTGTCAAACCTTTACAACGTGTTTATAAAATATATTAAACTCTATTTCATATATAAAGAAAATTACTTCATCATTTTTTAATAATGCTTGTAATTTATAAGTTTAATTTACTCCTTCCAGTTTTTTTTGAATAAACAAAAAAAAAATAAAAAGATTCTTTCGTTTATTTTACAAACACAATAGTATAAAGTCATTGCAATTCTAAACTATATTAATGATCGTATTAAATTATAAAATATGTGTGTTTAGTTAATATTCTAAATGACAATATCAAGACAAATAATTAATCAAAACAAATATTACATAAAATTCGAGCAATAGAAAGTACTTTAAATGGTGGTTGATCAATTAAATTTTGTGTATTTGGATAAGTATTCGTGACATAAAATGTATGAAAATGAACTCTTGGATTATTTGAATGTAGAAATTTTCTCCAACTTTCATTTGGAAATATTCCATGTCCAACAAATGCTGACACATTTGTAGCACCATTTTGTAATAATGCTTGTGCACATTCAATAAGAGTATTACCTGATTGAACTAAATCATCCACAATCATACAATGATAACCTTTTGAATTACCTAAAAAAAATAAACTAATATTTTTTGTTAAAATTATATAATGGGAATACCTTCTTTAACGGTTGTTATACGTTGATCATCATCTTGTCGAATTTTACTACAAATAACTATTGAATAATTTGTACTATCAAATAAATGAGAGAAACGTTTATGAGCTCCATCATCGGGAAAAGCAATGACATATTTTTCATTATTATTTTCTTCTTTTTTTAATTCATTTAATAATAATCCAACTGTTGATTCAAGTCGAACAATAATATTTGATGAGAAATAAAATTGATTTTGTAATGCATGAATATCAAAAATAACAACTTCGGATGGACCAGTACGTGTTAATGGAATTGATGAAAGCATTTGTGCTAAAGAATATGCTGTTGCTATTTCACCTTGAATTTGAATACGTTCCATCGTACCAGTTGGAAAATAAGGTAATAAAACTTTTAATGATCGACAAAGATATTTGGGTAAATGATAGAGAACGGAAATTTGTCCAAATATAGTCATTGGATTATGTAGTGAAGCTAGGAAAAGTACATGACTATTACGAATTTGATCAGAATTTCGAATAAATATATTTGGCCATTTATCAGGAAATTCATTCCATTGAATATCACCTAATTCAATAGGATTTTTTGTACTACATGAACGAATTTCTTCAGCTAAATTATGCATTTCTGGTGCATAAAATAAAATCGTTGGATATTCATCAGATTTTTTAGTTCCATTGGGTTTAATGGTAATTTTACTAGACATTGCAAACACTTACGTTATAAAAAGAAAAAAAAAACGAGTACGAGTCAAAATAAAATGCGCGGTTTTTTACTTTTTTCTTCTTCTTCTTCTTATATACCCGTCAGTTAGTGCTTTTAATAAGAAGCAGTCGCTATCGGCTTGCCGCTATTATTATTATTGAACGGCACGGTTCTCATTTTTAGTTCTCGAACAACGAGAAAAGAAAAGACTTGATTAAACATTGATTGTAAAAGAAAATTTTTCTTAGAAATCATTGTAAATGAATGAAACTATCCGATTTATTTTTCTTTCTCCCATACTTAAGTATATCAAAAAACTCGTATGGCATGGTTTTTATTGCTATTCTATTTACCTAATCAAAATATGAAGTATCGCTTTATTGAGAATAATTATAAATTTTTCTTCGAAAAAAGATATATATTTGTGAATTTCAAAATTTTCGTTTCATACTTCAAGATCATGAAAATGATACGCAGTTGCAGAGCAAGCAAATGAAGTTCATTATACCGAACTTCTAAATAAGAAAAGTTTGTATCTTAGACGCATGTGTTCCGTTAAATGAGTTAAAACGCTTCTATTAACGCGTTTAGATGCGTCTAGGTTGCGTTTCAGTTTTACATAAGTAGAAGCCACAACTTTGTTAAGATTGATTGATTCGTGTAACAATAATTTTAAATAAAAAGACAAATTTTACATTATTCAATACAAAAATAAATATAATGTCTATTAAAAATTTGTTCAATCTAAATAGTGCTTATGTCAAAGTATTCTTTATCGGTGAATTCATAGATTACGGTTCAGTCTTTTGTGTTCACTCGGTTTTATTGAATCTACAAATAAAAGAAAAACTGACGAAAAACCCAAAGTTTATGCGCAGAAAAGAAAAAAACGAACGATAAAAAAATACCTGATACGCCCACGATCTCTTATTGTGCTCCAACTGAATTGTTGCAGCTATTGTTGGAAAGTTTTGTGTGAAACTGATTAGTCTATATTTTCTGGTTACTCATAAAATTTAAATGTAGAAGAAAGTAATTATAAAAATTAATAAACTGGAAATACAAAAAACTGACGCACGAAAGAAACAGGTGAAACAATTGCTGCACTACCGACATCTGTTTTCCAACTGGGTTTTTTGGAATGCAGATTGTTGGAATGAATACTGCGTAGCTTGTTAGTCGGTACTTGCCAGCTCTTGGTAAATGCTAAATTAAATAAGAAAGTGAGAATAAGCAAGCACATGATCAAAATAAATAGCTCATATGCTCTTTTTTGCTGATATTCTCAATGGGTTTTTTTCCAACGGTCACTACATAAAATGAGTAATCAAAGGTGTATATACATTCTACTTCCTTCTCGAATTTTGATGATTAATGCTACGTCGATGGTGATTACGAAACGATAAGTAAACAAATAGGGGGTATAAAGCTAACAGTTTTTTACATGTCTGTCAGTCAACACAAAATTCTCATTCCGACGATATGCATTTGTAAACAATATTGGATTAAGCAAGATCTCAACTAAATATGACATACTTAACAATTACATACAATCAACGCGACGCACTGCTCTTGCAGAAAAATCTTCAGGTGCTGTCTGTCCCAGAATGGTTTACGGAAATATCTACCAAAAAATGTTTAAGCACAATACCTGGTTTAGTATCACGTTCATTCCAGTGTTTAATTCCAATACCATATGATGTAATTCTGTCAACATTTAATAGTAAGCTCTATTTGACTAATTATTTAGTTTAATCTATATTTATTTGATATATCTGTTCAGATGCACCCCTTTGGATTAAACATGGAATGAAATCTGTTGAAGAATCATCATCAATTACTAATAACGAAAATGGTAATCTGATAAAAGCATTATTTGGATATTTAGAGACTAATGTAAGTTATTCTTGGATTAAACAGATATCAAATATGTCGCATTCACTGGAATGGAAAACAGATATTAATCGCAAATATGTGGCAGTTACATATAAAAATGGTGAAAATACGATAGAAGTACGACTTAACCAAGAATGTCTGGATAAATATTTTATGATTTCAACTCACAATACTGGAAACCACGTCATAATTTTACCTCTCAAAACAGCACCCCGTTGTTACAATATACCATTAAGTCAACGTCAAAATTATCAACGAATATTAGATTTTGGAGAGATTGATGGCGTATGTTTATCAAATAGTTCTGCTATATGTTTGCAATTTATGGATAAAGAATCATTGATTATTTGCAAGAATTTTTTACAAAATATTATGAAACTAGATTGTCATTTTGGTCCAATTAATTGTGTAGACGTTTCAAGTCAAGCACTAAATTTTGATAATATTTTAAGTGATTTTTGGTCCGATTATGCTTTTAAAATGCTGTTAACATTGGGTTATCGAACCAAAAATCAGATAACCGAACTTACTTTACGTAAAATCCATCAATTATCAGATTTATCAAGAGATGAGCAGTATCCAAAGCATCAATGTTATTCAAAATTATTAGCTTTATATTATAAAGTACGATATAATCGATTCTGTGATATTAATGAGGAGTTTGATCAAATTCAATCAATACTGCCAAGTACTATGATGGATAAATGGATGTATGTTCCTCGAGCATATTTAACACCATATGGATTAATTCCTTTACCTGTTAAACCAATACGTGGAAATAGAGTTTTACGCGAACAAGAATTATTTGGTCCAGCTGAAAATTATTGTCGTATAATTATTCGAGATGTTGATCTTGGACAACCACAACAGGATATAATGCGCATAAGCGAAGAATGGATTAAAAATTTGATTATTGGAAAGAATCTTATTACAATTGGCAGTCGACAGTTTTCTTTTTTACTTTGTTCAAATAGTCAACTACGAGATAAAAGTTTTTGGTTCCATGCTCCATACTTTGGTCGTACAGCAGAGGATATTCGAAAATGGATGGGTGACTTTTCACATGAAAAATGCGTTGGAACACTTATTTCAAGGATGGGATTGCCATTCACTGGAACAACTGCAACGATCAAAGTAGATTAATATAATTTGAAAACATGCTTATTAATTGTTCTTGTTTAGCTATTACCTCATCAAATGGAATGTATCGAAGATAAAGTGGATAATCAAGGTCGTATTTTCACTGATGGAGTTGGTAAAATTTCTCGAGAGGCATTAAGACAAGTTAGTTAATAGTTATTTTTACATAAAAGAAAAAAAATTCAAATGTACATCTAATTCTTCTACCATTAATAGGCATTAATAGAATATGAATCAAATCTTATTGACGAAGATAATATGCCATGTGTAGTACAAGTACGTTTGAATGGTATCAAAGGCGTATTTGTAGTAGCTGATGATTTGAAAGATAGAGGTGTATTAATTCAATATCGTCCAAGTCAGCATAAATTTAACGCCGATCATAATATATTAGAAATTATTCAATATTCCAGTTCTAGTAAGAAGAATTTTGAGAAATATATTTTTGTAAATCTATCTTAAATAGGAATGGTATTTTTAAATCGACAAATTGTTGTTTTATCGGGAAATATGGGAGTACCTAAACATGTTTTTTTACAATTACAAAATAAAGCAAGATTAAATATATCAATGTCATTATTAGCTAATAAGTCAGCTCAACGTACACTTGAACAAAATGTTCGATCATATGATTGGGAGCGAATGCGTACGTCAGGCATTCAATTAACAAAAGAACCATTTGCACGCTCTTTGTTACTTTTACTTGCGAAAGAAAGGTAAGAGAAATAGAAATAAAAAGATATAATAGCCAATTACATGAAAGATTCTCTTTTCTAGATTAAAAAAATTAAAAGATAGATCACATGTACAAATTCCACTTTCTGATGGACGAATGTTACTTGGTGTTGTGGATGAAACTGATTCTCTTGGATATGGTGAAGTATTTATTCAACTTCGTGATTTAAACGGTCACCGTGAAACCTTACACAATCAACAAGTTCTAGTTACAAAAAATCCTGCACATTTTCCAGGTGATATACGAATTTTGAATGCTGTTGATCGTCCAGCTCTTCATCATCTCTATGATTGTATTGTCTTTCCAGCTAAGGGAGAGCGTCCTCATCCAAATGAAATTAGTGGGAGTGATCTAGATGGTGATGAAGTAAGTTATTTTACTGAATTACTTATTTATATATATATATATATATATATATACTTGGTTTATTTAAGTATTGGACATGTTGGAATGAAGATCTTATCAATAATGCTACAAAACAATATGCACCAGCTATATTCAATTCAGCTGAAAAAGTAAAACATAATGGCGAGATTACAATATCAACAATTGCTGATTTCCTATACAAATATTTAAGTTCGGATTCATTGGGTGTCCTATCGAATCTTCATTTAGCTTGTTGCGCTGTTTATGGAGCTAATCATGAGTATTCAAGTACTTTAGCTGGTGTTATTTCTGAAGTTGTCGATTTTCCAAAAACAGGTGTGCTTCCTAAAGCTCCAACAAATATTAATATTAAACAATATCCTGATTTTATGGAAAATAAATATCGAGAATCATTTGAATCAGATTCAAGTCTTGGAATTATGTATCGACAAGTAAAAGATATATGGAAAATGCATTTAGAATGGCAAAATACATTTGAGGAACAAAATATTGTTATTAATCCAGATTTTATAATAGAAGGTTATGAAGACTATATAATTGAAGCTGAGGAAGACTATAAATATTATACATCAAGAATAAATACAATTTTATCAATTTATAATCTTGAAAATGAATATGAATTAATTACAGGATGTCATTCATGTGCAGAAGAAGAGAGACAAAACAATGATTCAGTTGAAACAGCATCGTTAGAATTTCGACAACTTACTAGAGAAATGAGAAATAAATTTGGATCAGACAAACTATAGTAAACGATAGTCTTTGTTTTTTTAAATCAACTTAAAATTTTTCTGTTTTAGTTATATGAAGAAATTACAGAAAGCTAGTGCATGGTATTATGTTGCATATAAAGCAGGAACTATACTTAGTTTCGGTTGGATAATGGATCAATTAATGAGTGATATTATGGAGCGTAGACAAATACCTCGAGAAGAGCATCAAGCATTGAAAAGTATTGGTACCGCACTATATAATCAGGGGCTGAGTACACAAATAAGAGAACAAGTTTCTAAATGGCAAATAGACGATGCAAATTGGATGAATTACTCCGAAACAGAAATACTAGGTGACCAGTTTTTGAAAATTATTGAACAATGCAATGAAAGATATGGAGAGCTAGAACTAGCAAACATACCTTTATGCATGTTACACATGATTGCCTTAAATAATTTTTAAATAATTTAATAATCGATATATTAATCAAGAGATTGTAACAAAAAAAACTCTCAAAACTAATTCTCTGGAATTTCGTGAAACAATCATTCATTAGTATACAACACATTCCAATTGAGCACATCAACAAACTTCTTTTATATCATTAAATATTGCAACAAATGTGATAAGCAAGAGCTTTTTATTATATTTTCTTATTATTAATTTTCTAATAAAACTAATTATTATCACGTCTGATAATTTATATCATATATCTATAGATTTTGAAGTATACGAAAAAGAATTATTTAAATAATATCTTAATATTGTAAGGTTAATGTGGACTATGTATAAGTACAAATTCAATGTGAAAGAAAAGTTCTTTTCAAACAACGGAAAAAAAACAATAATGTTCTTCCTGATTTTATATTCATTTGATCATACTTTTTGCTAAAAAAATATACTTATTTTCACATTAAATCATACATCTCCATCCCACCTATAAACTATCATATATCCATAAACGCATAGAATTTATTTTATACACAAACATGTCAAGTTCGGCTGATTGCGTATGGAATCCAAATGGTATAAAAAAACAAATATTTTGGTTTATTTTATAATTATTTTTCTTATTTTTATCACTAGCTATAGATAAATCTTGTCTACCTATGAGTAATTATAAAAAGTCTAAAACAAGTTTTTGTTCTCGTTTTTATTTACCAATAATTATTGCAATTCTTCTCCTAATACCATCTATTATATTGACTGTCATATCGATTACTCAATATAAACATAGTTCAATAATATTGATTACAAATACATCGAATACATCAACTATTGAAGAAGCTCAGAATGTGAATAATGTTTTTTTTAAACTGCAATACATATTTTATTTATAACAGGTTTCAATAAAAGGTTTAATAACAATGGAAACAGCTGTACAAACAAACATTTGCGAGAACGATGAAAAACTAGAAGATTGTGTTCTTATTTATAATGCAAAAATTATTATGAACATACTGACACTGGTGAATTGATATTATGTTATTAGATTGAAATAATAAGTTCTTTTTTTCTATTTTTAGGCACCATCACGAGTATCAGACAGTTCTTTATTATCTTCCGATTTACCTGAAAATATTGTTCAAGATACGGGTCATTGTAAAGCATTACAAATTCGTCGAAGTCAATTATCACAAATTTTTGAACCAAAGTATATTTTCATATTTATATACGATTTCTTTGTAGTAAATAAATTTTAAATAGTACACTTGAAATACTTTATAATCTTTCTGGTATTACATATACACCAACTTCATCGGATCGAGCAGAAGAACGTTCACAAATTGATGCTCGAGCTGTAACAAATAGATGGAGTTCACCAATTAATTTTTATATTAATGTAGATTCTGGTTTAACTCCAGTAATGGCTGCGAATAGTAAAAAATCAAATAAAATACTATTTTGTTTTTTTCTTATTATGTTTTTATTTTTCTAGTTCGTACTGCTGTTTCTAATTGGCAAAGTAATACGGTTTTGACATTTAATGAAATAACTGCTATAACACCAACCCTAAATAAAACTTATATTTCATTTCGACGTGATGATGATTACGGTTGTTCAAGTCCAGTTGGTTATGATCCAACAGATCCAACATCAGTTATACTTGTTTCAGCATATTGTAGTGGTGTAAGTAATATGCGATAACTAGAACAATAGTTTTGTTTAAATAAGAATCTTATTGTTTAGATTATTGTTTCTTTAATGCATGAGATTGGACATACACTTGGTTTTATACATACACAATCACGAATAGATCGTGATATTTATATAACAGTTGTAACAGCAAATATTCTACCTGATTATGCAGCTAATTTTTTTAAATGGGCATATGGTACTATAAGATTTCTTGATGTCGATACTCCATATGATTATGGTTCATTTATGCATTATGATGGATATGGATTTACAAGTAATGGTGCTGCAACAATAATTCCCTTAGATACACGATATGATAGAACCATCGGACAAAGAGAAGTAGCAGCATTTTATGATTATAAACAAATAAATAGACTTTATTTTAATCGAGCAGGTATATAAAATTTATTTTTGTTATTAAAATCATATAGAATCTATTCTTATTATTAAAGCATGTCCATTCATGTTTACTAGCAATGGTTGTCAAAACAATGGTTATCTCGATCCTAAAACATGTTCACGTTGTGTTTGTCCTGATGGATTCTCGGGGACTAATTGTGATCAACGAGATTCAGCTAGTAATTGTGGTGATGTTATTACAAACCCAACACCATATTCATCTGCACAAGTAATTATTCAAAATCCTACACCAACTAGTACAACACCAGTATCACAATATTGTGTTTATCATATCAAGTCTTTATCAACAGGAAAGATACGTGTACAATTAAATGCAATTAGCACAATTGCACGAGCTCCTTGTAGTGTAACTTCTATGTTTGAAGTTAAATATAAAAGTGACATGGGTTTAACTGGAGCTCGGTCTGTTATATTCAATGTATTTTTTCATAATAAAAAACAAAATAGTTTTCTTCTAGATGGTGTGGAGTCACTGTACCAACGGTTTGGTTAAATATTACGGCAGAAAATAATACAATGGTAGTTATATTTCGATCTAATAATTATATTAATGCAACAACGAGAACTGCCCAAGCTCGATTTGTTGCCACTATTTATTTCGGTATATTAATATGAATAACAGTTTTATTGTAGTATACTATCGAAATTTTCTTTTACTCATTTCCTATTATAGATCCTGAACCAGCACCTGGTGCAAATCAATCAATACTAACAACAACAGCGAGTACTGTGAGTACTTCGACTACAAAAACGACTACTATGAGTAGTACAATATCAACCACGATAGCTCCTCAAATTTTGACAGTAACAACATCTACAACAACTACAACAACTTTATCGACATGCCCTTCGGCATCATACCGTTGTCAATTAGCCACTCAACCAACATGTGGTGGATGTTTAAGTTATCAACCTTGTACTGGCCAAGGTTATTTAAGACGTCTATTAATCAATCTTTTCTATCATATTTCTTTCTACATTTTCAGCCACTCAACAATGTACAGCATATAGTTATCAAGCACAACTAACTGATTGTGATAAAGTTATCAATGGTATAGCACAATGTCGATATCAGTAAATATTTTATTAATAATGAATATATATATACTTGAATACAACTTATTATTTCTTTTAGATTTATTTTATCACCATATATAACGTATTGTCAACATACGATTGTGCTTTGTTGTCCAAATTATCAACTTGTTTCATATCAAAATCAATATTTTTGCATATATAATACTCAAGCAATAAATCCTACTGACTGGTCCGCAATAATATAAGCATCTACTGACCTCTATCATAGATAACTTACATATATTTTCATTTGTCATTTTTTTTCCTTCAATAAAAATAAAAAGGCAATTGTCATTCTGTCATGGTATGATATAACGATAAAAAAAAAAGAAGTCGCTATATAGATTACTTCGAAAAAAGAGATTATATTGATGATGAGTGACGAAAATTTACCTGAAGTATCTAATGAGAATAATAATCAAGAAAGCAAAGAACAGATTGATACTAATGTAGAGCAAAAATTACCTACACCAACAGTATCTGATATGGATGATGTACAATCATTTTGTGCTGAATTTCATATTAAAGTTGAAAATGCAGCTGGTATTCGTCCATGGTTACAATTTAGTGATACAAATTTTTCTGGTAATAAAGATAAGATTTTTTTTCTTCGAATAAAAATAATTTATTTTATAGAAGAAGTATTAAAACAATTTGAAGAGTGTGAATTTGATATGCCAACTCCAATTCAATCAATAGCATGGCCTATTCTTAATCATGATCGAGATCTTGTTGGAATAGCAAGTACAGGAAGTGGAAAAACACTTGCTGTAAGTTTTAAAAAATATATAGAATTCTTTTTTGATTATTGAATTAAATTTAGTTTATTCTTCCACTTGTACTTCATATACGTAAACAACCGCCATTACAACCTGATGATGGTCCTATTGCAATTGTTTTAGCACCAACAAGAGAATTAGTTCAACAAATTCATAATGTTGCACAACCATATTTTAATATATTTGGAATCAAGTCTTTATGTATTATTGGTGGTGATGAAAGAGAAAAACAAATCAATGAAATTGGTGATGGAAAAGAAGTATATATATGTACACCAGGACGATTAGCAGATTTTTTAGAATCAAAAATTACAACACTTTATCGTGTAACTTTTATTGTACTTGATGAAGCTGATAAAATGCTTGATTTAGGTTTTGAACCACAAATTAGAAATATATTAGCAGATTTTAAAGCACCAAAACCTTTATCTACTGAAGAAGAAGAGGAAGAACAACCATCAGCACGTCGTCAAGCTCAAATTTCTATGTTTTCTGCAACATGGCCTAAATCAATAAAAACATTAGCTGAAGAATATTTAACAAATTATGTTCATGCAACTGTTGGTTGTTTATCGGAATCTCATGCTGTAAATTTAAATATACAGCAAATAGTAGATTTTTGTCCGAATGAACAACAAAAAAAACAAAATCTTTTTAAAATTCTTGATGAAGTCTGTGCTTATGCACCAGAACGAAAAACAATTATATTTGTTCGAACACGTGATAAAGTTAATCGATTAAGTAAAGATCTGGAACAAAATGGTTACAAAGCATTACTTTTACATGGATCAAAAAGTCAACAAATGAGAAATGATGTTCTTAAAGAATTTCGAGAAACTCAAAATGCACTTTTACTTGCAACAGATGTTGCTTCTAGAGGCTTAGGTAATTCAATTTCTTTCATTAACATAGACGAAAAAAACAAAATTTAATTTTTAATAGATGTTGATGATGTACGATTTGTAATTAATTTTGATTTTCCAACATCAGATGCTGTTTATATACATAGAATAGGACGTACAGGTCGAAGTGCTCAATGTGGTACAGCATTTACATTTTTTTCTAATGAAGATGCTAAACATGCACCAGCACTTATTCATATTTTGGATGAAGCTGGAGCTGTTGTTCATCCAATTATTCTTCAAATTGGACGAAAGAATGGTTTTAATAAATGGGTAGCTAATGTTGGAAGTAAGTTATATATTGAAAATTATTCTATAGCATAAACTTTTATTTATTTATTTTAGTGCCTCAATATCCAGTTTATAATCCCGATGAGAATTGGTCAGATGGTAATTATAATAGTCAAGAGTGGCCGAATAATGAATATGATAATAATGAAGATTTACCACCAACATTAATGAATATAGATTTAAGTTCATTTGATCCTAGTCAATTACGACCATTACCGGTGTCACTGTTAAATTCCAATGGACAACTTAATGAACTTGATGTAAATACTCGAATAAAAAATTTTCAAGATTATAAACAACGTTGTCAATTATTGGAACGTTTATCATGGGAAGCTAATGGTAGAAATTATCCAAATAATCAAAATGAATACAATAATTATGATAATAATTATAATAATAATAATAGGTAATAATTTCTTCTTCTTTTTTTAATTTTATTTAACAAATAATATAGATATAATGGAGGTTGGTCAAATCCTGGAAGTGAAAATCAAAATGGAAGAAATATGAATTCATACAATAATGAATGGCAAAATAAAAATTTTGATTCAAATCAAAAACGTTCATGGGATAATACTGTACCTCCCTCACATAATAACAATAATAATAATAATCAATGGAATGGAAATAATAATGGACAAACAAATTATGACCAATGGAAACCATCAAATCAACCACAACCTCAACAACAACAACAACAGCAACAGCTACCACCACAACAGCAACAGCAACAACAACAACAACAACCACAAGATCAACAATTATCTGATCTTGAAACAAATCCAGCTATTATTTATGCTAAAGCAAGTAGTGAATATCATATACAATATAATCAATATACAACTGCATTACAACAAGCGATGGCTGCACAACAAGCAGGTACACCAATAACACCACAACAACAACAATATTTAATTGTATGTGAACATTTTAATAAATACCTATTCGTTGGAAAAAAAATGATTTTTTCTTTCTTTTAGACATTTCAACAACAATTGCAAGCGAAGCAACAACAATTGCAAGTAATGCAACAAGCAGCTAATCTTCAACAAGCAACTATTTTACAAGCTGCTGCATTGAGTGCTGCTTCACAAAATGCTTGGAATCAACCAGCAAATAATTTACAAGCAAACTCATCGAATGATCTAACAAAATCAACTGCAAATGCACAACAAAATTGGATGCAACAATGGTATTTTAGAATTCTATTTATATCATTTTTTTCTTATGAAAATATTTCGTCATTAGGATTAATGCTGGTTACGATGCTTCACAGATTGCTGCCTATCAACAATGGTATAGTTTTCAAAATTGTTTTTGTTTTTATTTAATTATAAGAATTTTTAAGGTATACACAAATGCAAACAGCAGCTTCATTAGCTGCTTCTACAGCATTATCTCAGCCTCAAGCTCCATCCAATTCTTACAATGGAATGCCGGTGAGTAATAAGAAAATAAAAATTGCTTTGTTTTGTTATAATGATAAAGAAAAGGTACTTTTTTCGTCTAATATTGCTTATATAAAGGAAAGACTATAGATGATTTATTTGTTTGTTTGAAATGAAAAACCAAAAGAAAGAGATGATTTGTTTTGTTTTTGTTTTTTTTCGAGTGTCGCGTCCTACTTCTTGTTTCTAGCATGGAGTAACTTGATCATATACATATGAAATCATAACTTCCCAGATGAAACATTAAAATGTAAACAATCATCGATTATGTCAATGGTATTTATATTTGTTGGCTATTGTTGTAAGTTTTTCAGTTAAGCCTTAAAAGAGTTTTCTTGTAAAATCAAAATCCGGATATAATTGGATGATGAACTGAAGATTTAAGTTTTTTTGTAAGACTCAAAAATATGCGAGAAACAAAGTTCTTGTCTTTTTTTTTGGTGGGAAAATAATCTTTCGTTGCGCTCTCAATTGGCATCGTCTATCCTCCTCATTTTACTAGTGCCATTTGCAGACAAATATGTAACACATGCACGCATCTGACAACGATCAAGATATTTATCTTCAACATATCAATACAATTGTCAGGTATCAACTCAAGTGACTTTTATACTCAATAATAAAAGAAAGAAAAAAGTACAATAATTGATTGACTAATACGCGCTGAATTGCTTGAATTTTTTTCATTCTCCTGAAAAAGTCTTGTCTTTGTTTTTTTCTTAATAAATTCGTCTTTCGCAGAAATATCTGAGAGAAAATAAGAAAAGGGAAGTTTTTCAGGACAAAAGTAAGTTGAAAATATTATTTTAGTTTTTGTATTTCTTTTCTTTTTTTTTCTATAAAAACTAATCATTTTATTTATTTAGTTTTCATCAAATAATAGTAATCAGCACTCAACTGCAACTATATCAGCACCACCAACTGTATCATCATCAACAGCAAATGCTGCTCAACGTGCTTATGCTGCATATAGCAATCGAGCACCAACATCTTGATATATAAATTGTTATCTCATTTATGTATCTTTTCTTTTCTTTTTTCTTTTTGGTCGTGAAAACATTTCCAACTTTTCTTTTTCTGTTGTTGTAAATTTCATTTGACCATTATTCTTGTCTTTGTGTGTTGCTTCTTTTTTTTTCTATATAAAAAAAAACATGAATATATGACTTGAATTGAGGTCTAATTATCGTCAAATTACGAGCAAAAATATACAGAAGCAAGAACGAAACGAAGAATTTGAGCTCTTGAAAATGTCATACATACATAATTTCATCTCGTTGCTATTGTCTCTTCTTCGGTAGAGTTGTGTAAATGATACTTGTTTTAGATAGTATAGAATTGGAGATGCAAATGAAAAAAAAAAAAGTTCAATACAATCTAAATATCATGACAAACAACGATGGTAAAAAGTAAGTGTATATCTATATGTCTGTTAAATCGTTTTTTTTGACAAAATTTGTCAATCAATCAGCAGATGTATATTGAAACAAATAAATGAAATTTTCTTCTTTTTTTGTTTCTAAGTGAAAAGATGATGATGTACTTATATTTAATAAATTCCAGTTGATTTCATTTTTTCTATTATAGAAAAATGTTTCATGTAAAGATGTTATTATACATATACATTTATTTAATTTCTCGAATGAGAAAAATTTTCTATGCGTTATATGCGGTTAGTTAACGATGAATTATCGATAGTGTTTACACTTTCTTGATTTGCTTCTGATAATTGAATAGGGAAATTGTATGTATGTACAAATGTGAATTACTTTGGAATATGGGCGGAGTTATTGATAATGAACTAGAAGCATTTGTATCTGTCAGAAGATTGATATATACATTCATATTTAATCATAGAGAAAGCATACAAAAAAAGATCTGGCATGCAGATATATTTATTATAATTTGAAACATGTCAATAGAAAACAACATGTATTTAACAGATATTTTTTAAATATAGAAAGAAAACAATAGAAAGATTTTTTTTTTTGCCTTGCATACAATCTTTTCAGGTATGTACAGTGACATTAAACTAAAGTATTCGTTTACATATAACTCATCATGTTCTTAAGATTCCAATTTTTTCCTTCCTCTTATCTAACCAATCATTATCAATCGTTGATTTTCCTCTCTTTCCTTTTTTTTTGTTCTATTTTGATTGGCGAAAGGAATCATATTCTCTGATGAGTATTATCAAGAAAAGGAAAAAATCATTTTGCAAGATTAACCAATGTTGCAAATGAGGTTTTTTTTTTCATCTTCTTCTTTTCCAATTGTATGTCTAATAGTAAGAAAGAGAGAGAGAGATTATAATAAAAAAAAGACAACAATCTTGAACTACTTTCATTTTTACGTAAGATCTCATGTCTTATGAAATCATTTAATTGATTATTTAACAATAATGACAATATTACATTGAGATTTTTCTTTTCTTCTTCGTATCATATGAGTATTTTTTGTTTTTCGATCTGGTCATATAAATGTTCATTGAAGCATAGCCGAGAAGAAGAAGAAGATGACCCGTTCTCTTTCTTTTCTTTTTTTTTTATCATCATCATATTCATATTTCTTTTAATAATAAGAAACGATTGTCCGTATTACTTTCTTTTTACGTAAGACAGATTTTTTTTTCAAAAAAAATATTAGCTGTAATTGAGTAAAAGTCAGAAGAAAACAGGTGTTCAACGACTATTATTCTATTTGTTAGCAATCAGTCTGATGAGAAAAAAAAATGTCAACCCTTTTTTCTTATTTTTTTTTGCATATCTAGATTATTCATCAAAAAAGCCATTCGACAAAATCTATTCAATAAGCATCTTTACTGGAAATTATCAATTCGTTTCTTACAGAATGCAACATATGTATGGAAATAGTAGTAATGAAAATTTATCATTACAACGCGATAATGGTGAATGAAATTCTAATCTATATATTTTTAATAAACTAAAATCATCTATTGTCTTTAGAAGTCTATGGTCAATCGTCGCATTTTACACAAAATTCTTTACAATCTCATGTGCAATATCAACATGAAAATCAATCAATTTCGCCCCAACAATCTTCTGCAAGTGATATTGATGAAGCATCACCAACACCATCATCTTCACTCAATCGAACAGTATGTATTAAGAACAAAAAAAATGATTTTATTTATTTTTTTTTATTTTTTGAAGAATAATATAGTACCAAATAAAATAGTTAAAAAAAAGAAACAAACAAAAAAGAAACGTAAAGATCCTAATGAACCTCAAAAGTAAAAATAAATTCGAAATTATTTAATTTTTTATTATCACTATTTTATTAGGCCTGTCTCGCCATATGCATTATTCTTTCGTGATGCACAGAATGATATAAAAAAGAAATTATCTAATCCTTCATTTGGGTAAAATAAATTTTAATATTTTTTCAAAAAAAAACAAAGACCGGTTAATGTTTTTTTTAGAGAAATCTCCAAAGTTGTCGCACATATGTGGGAAAATATTGAACCGGAAATAAAAGAAGTAAATTAAATAATAAATGTTATATTTTCTTCTTTCATGATTATTATTTCTAGCAATATAAACGTAAAGCAGCTACAGCTAAAAAAGAATATCTTAAACAATTAGCTGCATATCGTGCTGTTCAAATTTCACATCAAGTAAAAATTTTATTTTATTTTATTTTCATTTTTAATTATATTGATTTATCATATAGACACCTAATATGTCTCATTTTCTTCATCAAACTTCTTTACCATTTAATTCACTTCAACATCAACAAAAACCCTATCATACAGGATCTGTATTACCTACCAATCATCCTCATCATCATAATAATAATAATCATTCTTTCCATCAATTCTGTCCATCATCATCATCTACTCAACATCAAACACAATCCTATAATAATTTTCATTATTTAAATACATTTCCTCAAGATAATTCAAATGTATATCATGCTGATCATTCAAATTATTTCTCGAATCATTCTCATCCAACATATTCATCCTATGATTCAAACAATAATTATCCTGATTATCATCAATATGGTTTACTTCGACCAGCTATTGAATCGGAACATTATTCATCTTATTATTCTCCATTATCCATTGATAATGAACATATAAAAACCAATGAAAATTTATTACATAATTTAAATAATAATACACCACATTATACAGATCTTACTTCTATGACAAATGGACAAGTTGATAAACATTATGATTATGTGAATAATATTCATCATGGTTCAAATGAAAGAAAAGATGATCATTCATCATTAGTATCAGTTTCTAATGAAAATAATTTTTATTGGAATCAACCAACATGTTTAACCACACAGTGGTGATTTCGTACATTTTTTTTTCTTTTCTCTTTACCTTTTCTGTTTATTGAAAACAAAATATATTAATTTAAATCTAATAAATTCTTCAATTCATACATCAAATAAGATG